GAAACACTGGGGGAGGGGAAAGGAGTGACAAGGTAAAGATTCACTCGTCTGCAAAATGCCGTTTTTGAAAAAAAAATATTCAACATAGGAGGAGGTGCAGTATAATTGATTATGGCACATTTGCAAATCTTGTACAGTAAAGGGGGGTGTTCCTTGTTACAACAGAAGAACACAATGGGAAGGCAGGAAGCGGAGACACTGGGGCGATAGAAGAGTTTTCAAATAAAAGAGTTACCCACAAGCTGATAAAGCCTTGTTGATAACAATTTCACCTACACACAAGTTCTATTAATAGGAGCGGTTTAATGAATTGTGTAATATACATGGAATATTGCTGGTACCGTCTTCAATACCCTCAACTGCCCTATCGGTTCATGTTGTTCTCATTTAAACTTCTGGAAATGTTTTACATGAATTATAATATTATGACATACTATATAAACGTTATGATACATTTGTGTTGAAATGTGTCCTAATTGTGTTGAAAGGTACTGCATTTATTTTGGTTTCCGAACTTTCTTGAGGGGATTAGTTTGTGGAGAATGCAGTAGATAAATAAATGAACTAACACACATATTGTCCATCAAGCAGTATTATCGGAGCATGGCGGAGAGTTGGAAAATCCAGTTCCAAGGCCTGGTTCTGAAGTAAAATTTGTTCCTCACCTCCACAGACAACGGTTGCTTCTCTGCCTGGATTGTATGTGGAAATTACTGGGATTATAACACATCATCTACATATGAGAGGGTGCAGGAACAATGCCAAATGGTGGGGGGCAGTCAATGGGTCCCCTCTCAAAAAGGGAGCTTATTCAAGGGCCCCCAGCCCTAGCAGATATGCTTGGTAGTAGAATCGCTTATTAATCATAATCTATTCATTTTTTTGCTTTGTTTTGTTAATATGCCTTTCTTCCTGCAGAGCCCCTAACATAATCCTCCAAGGAATTGTGGATAATTTAAATGGCAGATCCCAAATTCAACTGTGCAATTTTTAAATTTTGTTTTCTTTTCATTTATTTATTTTGCACCTTTTTTTCCCAATGCAGGCGTGCAACACAATTTGCGAAAGTCCTCTACGGGGAAGAAGGCAGAGTAGAAAATGAATGAATTAATGAATGATAACCCACATGCAGGGGGGGCACCCCAAAAAGAGGCTCTTTCATTTTTTTGAATCTTCTGTGGCTTTACAATAGAGACTAAAATATGAAAGATTCCGGATTCTAAAAGACAGATTAAGGAAAAATTGATTTCTTTCGTAAAATCAGATAGGTGACAGTGTGGAAGGCAGAATATTAAGTTGTTTTCAAAAAGTAAACACGGAGGGGGCCATAAAGTCAGTGCCACTGCGAAGAAGACCCAACCTTTTGTGGATAACGTACAGGTCTCCTTTGGAGTGGCTACCCTGAAGAGCATAGCCTGGGAGGATCTGTGGGTTAGGTACGTAGATGGCACTGGAGAGAGAGAGACGCTCCAGCAGGTAACTTGGTCCCAAACTGTGAAGGGCTTTATATGCAAGCATCAATACCTTGAACCTAATCCAGGATGCAATCGGGAACCAAGGGAGGCAATCCAGAACTGGATGTGATCAAATTTGCTCACCCTAGCTACCAGTCTGGCTGCTGTATTCTGTACCCGCTGCAATCTCCAGGTGAGCCTCAAGGGGATCCCCAAGTAGAAGGTGTTTCAGTAGTCAATCCTTGCACCAGTGTTCTGACTGAACCCTTGTCCAGATAGGGCAGAGTTGGGCAATCAGCTTTCACTGGGTGAAAGCAGATCTGGCTGTGGTTTCAACCTGGGCTTCTCAGGACAAAGCCAGGTCCAGAAGAAGAACCATGTTACAGACTTGATTCTTAAATGGGAGGGCAACACCGTCCAGTCTACGGGAAATCCTCCCTGAACCTATTGAAGGGGCCACTCAGGAACCAAATCTTGGTCTTGTCTGGGTTCAGTTGGAGCCTCTTAGCCCCGGTTCATTCCAAAACCAAAGCCAGGCACTGCTCGAGCATTTTAACCCTGAGATGCCACCCAAGCATTTTGCAGACTGCAGGGGCCCAATGTTCTGCTGGCATTATCAGCATCCATAAAGACGTTGCTAGCCCAAGCAAATGCCAGGTTTGGTTGTGCAACAAGGTCAGTCCTGGCTATCTGCCTCTTTCTCTTTCTCTCTCCTCCCCCACCCCCACAGGCAGACAGAGTGAACAATTATTTGCTTTCAAACACTGGGTACATTGTGCCTCTTGAGCTCAAATGCCATTTGCCTGCAGCTACTAGGAAAACACAGGTATCTGGTAGGGCAGCAGTTCTTATCACCAGCTGCCTTTCTGGAATTTGCTCTGTAACACTGATACACATTTGTAACAATTAAAGGTTTGTAGAGACAATTCTTTAAAAATGCAGCCATATTCCAGTAAGAATTTGACATCACTGTAGAGTACTGTATATAGTATATTTTAAGATTCCCCCCCCTTTATAGTATTTTTATTTTCTTTGCAAGATTTATGTTTTTCCCTTTACCCATTCTTGACCCCAACACTAAAAGATATTTGAGGGGAGGTTGCTTTTCTGGGTGTGTGCATGCATGGTGAAAGCTAACCGTTGTTGTTGTTGTTGTTGTTGTTGGTGGGTGTACGCATGCATGGTGAAAGCTAACCATTGTTGTTGTTGTTGATTATGTTGTTGTTGTTGTTTCCACAGTAAGATCCTTTGCAGTACAAGTATTTACCCCATAGCTCACAAATCAGTAATTGTATTACAGTCAATTGGTGCTTTATTGCCCTTTTCCCACTGCCACAGGCAATTCTCTCTATGAATATTCAACAAAATCACTTAAACAAGAACCTGCCTAAGTATGTATTGTGTACATAGGCTTTGCTCATGCAGTTGCAGGACCTACCAAAGTTATAACACCAGCAAGAAAACCACAAACTAAAATGTGAAGCTTCGTCTCTGTAGCTTCTCAACTATTATTGCTTCCTGTTCAGTGTGGCTTAATTACTCATTTATTTTTTATAGATATATTCTTCTCCATGAAAAAAAAAGTTAAATCTATTACTTGATAATAGAAAATAAATAAAACCATAAGGAGAGAAAAATGCAATGCCTCTCTGTTCCTCTGCACCAGCAGAAACAGGAAATAAGCAATTGTGCAGCAATTGAAAATAGGAATAAACCAATTTAAGGGGCAGTGAATTTTGGTTTGAGCTGCCCAAATTATTGATCCAAAAAAAGTCAGCCTTCGCGCTCACTCCCACATAGACACGTCTACCAGTGTTTTGACACAGGGAAGGAAATATGTTTAAATATGTTTCATTTTGTATTGCTATTAAATAGCACAAACACTTTCCAAACAATTTGGAATTGCAGTTTAGAAGGAAGACTCATTCATTTCAGCAGGTCATTGATTGATTGATTGATTGATTGATTGATTGATTGATTGATTGATTGATTGATTGATTGATTGATTGATTGATTGATTGATT